TTCAGTGCAAAGTATGAAAGGCAGAAGAGCCAGAACCAAAGTATTCCCAGTTTTAAATGACCACAGATGCCAAACCAGATTACTATACTCAGCCAAAATGTCTATTATAGACAAAAGGGAAAGAAATATCTTCCATGACATAAACAGGCTGAAGGAAGTCATGTCCACAAAACCAGCCCTTCAGAGAGTACTGGAAACAACAAAAAGAGCTGAAGAAAAGAATGACTATACCCAAGGGGTTGCGGAAAGAAATCCGATGAAGGTATAACTGTGGAAAAGTACAGCTATATCAAGAATGTAAACAGAAATAAAAATGACAGGATTCAATACACATCTTTCACTAATAACTTTAAATATTAATGGACTGAACTCCCCAGTCAAAAGACACAGACTAGGTGAATGGATTGATACAAAACCCACCTTTTTGTTGTCTGTAAGAAACTCATCTCACTTTCAAGGACAGGCACTATCTTAAGGTGAAAGTATGGAAAAAAATATACCAAGTGAATGGTACTAAGAAAGAAGCAGGTGCTGCAATTCTAATATCTAATAAACTAGACTTTAATTAAAACTAATCAGAAGAGATAAAAAGGGCCACTTCATTCTGATCAAAGGAACAATAAATCAAGAAGATATTACAATCATGAACATATATTCACCAAATTCGGGTGCACCCAACTTCATAAAAACAATACTACAGGACTTTAAGACCCAGATTAATCCCAACGCATTAATAGTAGGGGACTTCAAAACCCCTCTGTCTCCATTAGATAGGTCAACAGGGCAGAGAGTTAACAGAGAGATATTGGAATTAAACAATAACATATAACAAATGGACCTAACAGACATCTATCGTATATTCCACCCAAGCACCAAAGGACATACTTTCTGCTCAGCACCCCATGGAACCTTCTCTGAAACTGACCATATATTGGGGCACAAAACAAACCTCAACAAATACAAAAGGATTGAAATAATTCCATGCATTCTATCAGACCACAGTGCAATAAAGCTTACAATCAACACTGGAAGAAGCTGTAGTCACCACGTGAACACGTGGAGATTAAACAACACACTCCTGAATGATGAATGGGTCAAAAGAGAAATTAAGAAAGAAATAAAAGTATTCCTGTAATTAAATGAAAAGGACAACACAACATGACAAAACCTCTGGGATATGCTGAAAGCTGTCCTAAGAGGTAAGTTTATAGCTCTCAGTGCCTACATCAAAAAATTGGAAAGAACACAAATAAATGACTTAACACTAATTCAAGACACTTGAAAAGCAACAAAAAATGAAGCCCAAACCCAGGAGACAAGAAGAAACAAAAATCAGGGCAGAAATTAATGAAATTGAAACAAAGAAAACAATACAAAGAATCAACTAATCCAATATCTGGTTCTTTGGAAAGATAAACAAGATTGACAGACCTCTAGCCCAGTTAACCAAAAGAAAGAAAGAGCACCTCCAAATCAATAAAATCAGAGATAAA